ATTACGAACTTTCGTAATAAAAATGTATTATAATCGATAATGTTACCCACACATAAAATCAATTATATTAAATTCATATAAAAAAATCAATCGTAATATAAATTTATATCGAAATTTAACTAAAATTCATAATCCAAATTTATATTAAAACTAGAATAAATATTTTTAACTGAACATATTAAAATCTCATTATAAACTAAATTTATAACAAAAATACATATATTTTAATTGATATAAAGTTTGTCCCTATCTAAAATCAATTATATTAAATTTGAATGAAGAAACCATTGATCAGCTTATCAGGTCCGAATTAGGCAGAGATAAAAACCGACGGCGTCACACCGCGATAACCGTCGAAACCCAGGTATTTCCTGCCTCCGACCCGTCATAAATCCGGCGTCTCCCGGAGTCCCGGATCCCCGGCGATTTCCTTATCTACCGGGTGTCCAGGAAGTCGGAATCTGGTCAGGGACGGTTAGCTTGGATCAGATTATTTTTAGTCACGCGCTATTTTCAGTCACTGTGTCGAACGAAGTCGCTATGGAATCAGTGCGCGGACCAGCTTCGAGGAAGCGGCTCGTTTTCACGCAATTATCCGCCGCGGCTCGCGAGAAAACCGTCCATCTCGAGGGAACACGCTCGAACGTGGTTGAAACCAAGCGAGGATAGGGTGTTTAGTGTTTTTTTTTTCTCCGTAACGATCGTTCTTCCTCGGCGATGTTTCTGCGACATTTGTAATCGTGTCTCGAAGAACCGGGACAACGAAGGAACAATAGTTTCGAAAGCTTTTAAAGCTGCTGAAAAGTGTATGGACAAAGTTCGCTAGTTACTTTCATGTGACTTTGCCGCGTTTCTTTTTTCATTTTATAATCGTCCGATCGTGAAATGGTGCGTTGACAGTTTAAAACTTAGGTGCGAAGAGTGCGAGGAGACCCGGAAAGAAGAGAATGATTTCTGTGGGAAATATTTTCATCGTTAGATTAGACTGCGAATTTATGGTAAAATTGGGTGGTCGCAATTAAAACTAGCAGAACGATTAAAGCAATTTCAAAACGTCGATCCGTTGTTTTCAAACTGTTGAAATGATGAAAAAATGAATGAACTTGCTACCTAGTTTCTATTTTCCGCGATCGACGCGAACAATTTTAATTTCCCATAATAATCCGCAGCCTGCTTATGGCACTCGGTTCCTCGATGTTCCTTCCGCGTCTCCGCATTTTTCGAATGCTATCGCGGCACTGCTAGCCGCGAGCCGCAAAGGAGAAAGAAGACGAGTCCTCGAGCTCTCTTAGACCGCTCAAACTCGTTAATAACGGTGAAGAGATCAACCTGTTGTTTGAACTTCGATCTTCAACCGATTCTTCAATCTTTCGTCCGTTCATC